TGGGGTAGAGGAGAACAAGCGTGTCCCACTCTTATACTACTTAGTTCTACTTAGTTCCACATTAAGCCATACCAAACATAGGACAAATCTGTTCTATTCTGTCCTGTTCCACCCTGTCCAGCTTACCAAACACACCCTAAGAGCTCTAATTTTATTGTATACAATTACCAAACAATTATATTTCATTTTGCACTATATCATGGGAGTTTTTTAATCATTCTAACTACTTAATCATTTAGCAATTGTTAAACAGCCACTTAGTTACCAACAAACAAATATAACAATTCAAAAAATATTTATTTAGGTTTCATAAAAATTAAATTTATACTCATTTTTATTTCATAGATTATAACACTCTACCAAATGATTTCAATAAAATATTTAAATTTTGTTTTAACAAATTCAAAATTTATAAATATATAATTAATTTATAAATTTCTTTTAATTTACATATTATTTCATTTTTCATTACTTATCTTGTTTATATTGATTAACATATTATATCATCAGAGATTTACTTTAATTTTTCAAATGTCATTTTTGGTCTATTTTCATCTAGCTTATCAGTTAGTTTTTGTCAAATATGATTTATTTATCAGATAACTTATTAAATCTTTATCAGATATGATTTTGTTCAGTTAATTTGATAAACATAGCATTAAAACAGCTTTCCAAAATACATTCTACTTTATCCAACTTGTCCTACTATAAAGTATTATATAATAACTCCAGTTTACTGCTCCTCCTATCTACATGCCCATATTTCTATTAAATAATTGATTCTCCCAATCACTAAATTATCCATCTATTTCTTCAAAATAAAATATAAAATAAAACAATAATTGAAATTATAATAATAAAAAATCCATTAAGAACAGACTGTTCAGATAACAGAAAAATCAAAGGTCAGAGGAGATTCAAGATATTGCCAAGAACCCTATAAAAAAATGAAAATCTATCCCAAACCTAAACTCTGCAAAAAAAAATGGGATTCTTTTAGTGCAATTATCTTCAAATTCCTTTATAAATACCAACTAAAACTGAAACTAAAACAAGTGCCCTCAAAAAGCCTTCTGTCACAAGCACCAGCACTCACCACCACACCATTATTATCATATATCCATCATCCAATAGGAAGCCCTGAATTCTAACTCCCATCTCCTTCAACTCAAAACCATTACTCTTTCTGCAGTTTTTCTAAAGAAATCTAAGGGATTATACGAGTGTATTTGCAGATTTCCTAAAAAAAATTAAGGGATTGTGAGTGCTTTTGCAGGTTTCCTAAAGAAATTTAAGGGATTGTGAGTGTTTTTGCAGTTTTTCTAAAGAAATCTAAGGGATTATATGAGTGTTTTTGCAGTTTTCCTAAAGAAATCTAAGGGATACTAGGTGTTTTTGCAGTTTTTCTAAAGAAATCTAAGAGATACTAGGTGTTTTTGCAGTTTTTCTAGAAATCTAAGGGATACTACAGTCTTTTTGCAGTTTTTCTAAAGAAATCTTTAAGGGATGATGCGGGTATTGGCGTCGATGAGGCACAACATAAAGAAGATGAGGAAAAGTACGAAAGTGGCCGATGAGAACATGTTTGGAGAAGGAAATGGAGTTGAGTTTCCGGTCATAGCTCACCGTACAAGACAAGGGTGGAATGGTCTTTCTTTTATTTACAGCATTATAAGAGCGCCAATCTCGCTTCTTTCATGCCTATCTTCACATCCGCCGCATGCTGCCGCTGACGGAGTTTGGGTTTCCGGTGAGTTTGCACGGATATCGGAGATTAATCATCTTATGGTCAGTGACAGCATGCGCTATGCAATCTTGATGTAATTCTAATCTTGTTTTGTTCTTATTTCGAGATCTCAATAGATATTACAATACCGTTTACCATTCGTATCTAAATATTCAGTAGTAAAAGTACGCAATAAATTATGCAAGTTTGCAATGTAGCATCATCTTGTTCATTTTAATGCATTACAACAGAATAGCCTACCGGTATGTGAGTCTTTAGCCTCCTAGGAGATCAGGGGTTCAAACCTCACCAAAGGTGAGGAGGGTATGTGAGTTTATTTGTTCTATTTGTCGTATATAAATATTATATACTTCAAAAAAAACAGAATCAGCTTTGTCGGACACCAGAAATGTCTAAATGTCATAATAGACTGTTTTATAGGGCTTAAGTTTATTGGACCAAACAAATGCGCGTCCTATATAAATGTCTTACGATAAGTTGACAGAACATTTTTGGACGTCTTATTAGTCTTTTTATGACATTATTCAAAGAAGTGCTTTATAAAAACGAATTGTGTTCATAAGACACTTCTCAAAAGTTAATAAAACAATTTATTTCAAAAAGGTTCTAGGATACCCAAAATGCGTCCTAACATCTGAAGGATATAGGACCCACAATTGTTTCGCCCTATAAACTTAACTCCTACAAAGCAGTCTATTAAAACATTTAAACAGTTTTGGCGTCTTATAAAGCCAGTTTGTTGTAGTGATGGTCGCAAACCAGACAAAATTAAGCATATTGGGCCTCCTAAATTCCAGCCTAGCAGAAGTATGTGGAAGTTGCAATCAGGCATATAATAAGAGAAAAGATTCAAGTGGCAATCATTCAGCAAAAAGTGCAAAAGAACAAAGGCAAATTGTTGCTGAAAGTGAAAGAAAGCTACCTGCTTGTCTATATATGATGTAACAGAGTGGTTGAGGCTCGACGACAATTTTTAGCATCTGGTGCGTGGACTCGGACCCGAAACATGTGGTTCATCAAAATTCAAAAAACCGTGTACTGATTCTTGTTTTGTTTGGATGGGTTGAAATCTTGATGTTCAAGCCTGTCCAGCATCGTAAAATTTCAAACTTGTGCCACATTGATGAGCCTTAAATAGGCCCGATAAACCTATAGTTTGTGCAAGTATAGCCAGGGTGGTCCTCTTAAATGTTATTATGCAAATACATAAATAAGATTATTAATATATGTATATATGCAGGGTTGGGGTCATGGGAAAACCAAAAAAAATGGAAAACTATGGAACACCCTAATAACCATTCACTTGTCCGGGATGCACATCTGTATAAAATGCACTTGCATAGAAACTAGCAAACACTTTCAATTACTTTATGCACATGTGCATACCATACTGATAAATGGTTATTTGAGTGTTCCTCGGTTTTCCATTTTTTGTGAATTTTCTCTGAACCCGAGTCTATATATATAGAAGGAGGTTCAGGGGAAAACGCAATAAAAATGAAAAATTGAGAAACACCCAGCTAACCATTCACCTGGACGATATGCACATGTGGATACAAGTAATTGAAGTTGTTTATGCACATGTGCATACCGGACAAATTGCTTACAAGTTACTCATATGCACATGTGCATACCGTCTAAATGAACAGTTACCAGGGTGTTCCTCAGTTTTCATTTTTTTGCAGCCTTCCCCTAAACCTTACCCTATGTGTGTGTGTGTGTGTGTGTTTATGCATGTATGTACAGATGTGGTTTCATTTACAAACCCAACCACTAGTACAAACCAATCTCAACCGTCCTTCTAGTCAAAATAGATAATCAGAAAAAAAAGAGAACATTGTTTTTGCAAACATGAATAGAATTTTTTTTAACAGTTTTTGTAAGAAAACAATGTTCTCTTCTTTTTGGTCCAGTGGGTCCGTAAAACTCACTAGGATAAGCGGTTTTGTTGAATACCGAACCTATAGGTATAACCTTTCGCTCAATACTAGAATCGATGAATATCTCGGTTGTTTCCTAATATAAAGCATTGAGCCTTTGATAAATGAACCCTTGTCATTTCCATAAATAATCTCATTTAATTGGTTTGTATAATTTGTACTAATGGTTGGGTTCGTAAATGAAACCACCTCTATATGTGTGTGTGTCTATATACAAACCCTAATCCACAATCCAGGATCTGCATAAAGACCATTTAAGTTGATTAGCAACTAAAAAAATAAATGGACATAAACAATCAAGTAAATCAATAAACATTAAACAAACTAGTGAGATTCTTCATACTTGGGTTCCAATAGATCAGAAAAAAGAAATTGTTTTTTGAACACTTTTTTTAAAAGAAATATCATAATAGTTATAAAACAATAGAAAAAGTAAAGCTGTTTTTTTTAAATGTGAGGGTAGCCCTAAGGTGGGCTCTATACCACCCCGTAACCAACTGTGCTACACTCTGGCTTGATCATAAGCATATACTTCTCGGTGCTTTCAAGATATGCAATTGTTAGGTAGATATTTCCATTGCTTGGCGATTTGACTTCAAGACAGAATCTGAGTGGGGTACATCGGATACGAACCTAACCTTAAAATTTCCAAATAGACTTTGCTTTAACTTAAAAAACCAGATTCCCATATGGATGTCCTCGTCATTTCAAACTATCACTAATTAAGGGAAGAAGCATTGCATCTTAATTTTTCGATCTCTGAGCTACAAGAAGTCTACTGTTACATGGAAACAAAGCTAAAAACTAACAGCAATCAAGGGGTGTGCTTGATCTTTTTGTATTGGCTTTTCAAATAAAAAGGGTAAAAAGGAAGAAAAGTACCCCACTAATTATCAATAAAGGGAAAAGAAAAAAACAACATAAAGTACCTTTAAAGTCCCATCGCTATCGCAACACCATTAGAAATCAAGTGCTGAACTCCGATTCTCCCCACTTCTTACGTCTTTTAAACAAGCTGGAAATGGCAAGGGAGATAGTTTTCTAGTTCATATGCAGAAATTAGTTGAGCTATGATACTGAAACATATATATATATAGGGGCCAGTTCAAATAAGAAGACTAAATATCATGAGAAAGAAAGATTCATATGTGAATCATTGAAAAAATCCCAAAAATAATTATTTGAAGAAGCATATGTGAACCGACATTACAGATTATTCATAAAAGCCTTCTCTGGAGCATGCTTATAACAAGATCCTGAACTTTTAAAAAGTTGGCAGCTGCAAGACCCGAGTCAATGTATTAAGCCAAAGTTCATATATGTATCTTCAAATGAATTTTTTAAATGATTCACATATGAACCTTTCCTCAACCTTCCCTCCTTAACTTCTCACGATATTTAGCCTTCTTATTAGAACCTCCCACTTGATGAGAACGAGAGTTATGGTGAGAAGGGTAAGATGGGATCTCCATCCTTGGATCAATCTTAATTGAAGAGGTCCACTAAATCGACACTAATGAGAAGCGCTTGATCGATTCCCTTCTAAAGCGGAATTCATGGGTTGGTTTGATATTAAAAGTGATCAAGGGTCCAAATCCATTCTTACACTTCTCACCTTAACTCTTATTCTCACACGATCATTCGTTTATACATATAAGAAGGTTATTTAGCTAAATGGCCTTCAGGCAATCGTTTTTTAAAATGTGATAGGTTTTTAGGCATTCTTGTGTATGGAAAAGACATTCTTTAGTAAATCAAAGTCATTCTCAAAACTGTCAAAAGGTCATGGATTTAAAAAAAGAACCCGTCAGAAGGTCATTTAACCAAAGGCCTATATATAAAGATTATTCATCACTGTAGCACGTCCGACAAGGGATATATATCAACCAAATGCCATAATAAGGTGTTTGATATTGCACCACTTTTCAACTTTTGTATTATTATGCCTAATTATGTTCGGTGGAAGACCAAAAGGTTTAAATGGAGCATTCTTTGTCGATATTCAAATAAACAAAGTATTTTCAAGATTATTTACCTTAAAGAATATATGCCTTTAAGCCCATTGATTTCAGACCAGCAACAGTACAAACACTCTTTAATATCAAGCGACAAGTACCTAACAAAACAACAATAACCAAAATAAAGCCATATTAGCTAAAGCAAAATACATTGAAAGAGTTCCACTTACGTTCCATCAAGAAGACTCATAAACGCCACAAATCTATCCCTTGACTCATGCTTTTTGGGGTCTGCATAAAAGTCCAAATACTCACGACGTTTCTGTAGGGTCATTTGGTTTAATGACCACCAACAGGCTTTTTTCAAATCCATGACCTTCTGACGGTTTTGAGAATGTCTTTGCTTAACAAAAGAATGTCATCTCCATACACAAGAATGCTTAAAAACTTGTCAGAAGATCGTGGATTTAAAAAAAATTGTCAGAAGGTCATTTAGCTAAATAAATAACCTTTTTTAGGTCAAGAGGTTGAGAGCGAGGTCTCGAATCAACTTATTGGATTTACTTCCATTTGGTATTTTGGCTAAAAAACAAGTTACATTTACGTACTACCAATGCCAATATGCATTTCTATAATGCAACAATAGCTTCCATAACTTTACTAACCAATTATAAACCATTAAAAGTATGTAACATGGTAGACGACACTGAGAACTAGGTTTCTTGCTTCTTTATTTCTATCATCAATTATCAAATGAAGGCAAATAAAATAAAATTTAAAGAAACTTTTCTGAAGGAAATTGATTGGATTAATAGAAAATGTTAAATACATACAAGTATATACATTTATAACACAAATGCTAAAAGATTTCTGAGTGAACATCTTTCCTAGAAAAATTCGTCTGCAACTTAAGCAATACTCTTTTGGCTTCTTCTTAGACGATCCAGCACAAACTTCTCACCTGTGAGGCACTCAACCAACCCTTCCAAGTGATGGGAGGTTATGTTAGAAAAATCAAGAAACAAACTATAGGTGCCAAAAAAGGAAGAGCAAATTGCATGAAAATGTAAATACTTCGTTCTTATTCCTATTTTGCGCGATGCACTTTCAAAATCTCCATTTTAGTACCTTAGTTGTCACATCTCAAACATTTAACATTTAGGTACCTGGTTCACATATGAGAATGCATGAAAATGCAACGTATTTTGGTCTAATATAAAGGTTTGAGATATCACTAAAGGGTCTTTAGCAACGGACTTTTTTTAAATTTTACAAAAACGTCATTGGCGGTACCTAGGTTACCGGTAGAGCCCAGCCTCCTAGGAAGTCAAGGGTTCAAACCTCACAAAAGGTGAGCAATGTGCGTGAGTATTTGATGCATATAAATATTATATATTTCAGAAAAATAAAGGTTCTCAATGTACGTTACACAAAATAGAAATTAGACCAAAGGACGATGCATTTCATGCAATTTGCCCAAAAGGAAAATGATGCAACATTCATGGGATTTCCCTAAATGAAAAGGGTTGCAATTATCATGGAACAAAGAGATTATTGATCAAAAGAAAAGATAGAAGCTCATGATTCCTGGTTGACAATCTAAACCTCCAAGATTTTTTAGCAATGCAACTGCAATTTTAGTACCATTTGTGTAATGCCGACAATCGTGCTGACCAATTATCAAATCAGTATCCCAGTTGCTGTTGAACTTGTGTACTGCATCTACAACATCCACATTACAAGATCCTACCATCCAGCATTTTGTTTTTGGCAACTTCTTCATCTTCCTCATTTGCAGAACTCCTGAATTGAAAAGAAAACACAACAAAGATAGTACTCCTATCGGGTTTTAGTCACCACAATATATCAAAAAATAAGACGTTCACCCATCACAAAGAAAACCCCCATAGCCCACAGTTGAACTTATAAACACCACAAAAACAGAAACATAATAGTAACTTTTAGAGTCTCATATCAGCTAGACTTGAACCATGTATCCTCAATGTATGTTGGAACACCCTTCTCTTCTCAAGAGATATCTTGGAGATAATTTGGGGGTTCCGCATATTCTTTCATGGTATCAGAGCCAATATACCACTGTGGGCAAGCTGTACTCATCTAGCCCCCTAAACCCTTGGAGAGTAATATAAAAGTTCCACATATTCTCACAGTAACAAAATTCAATCTATAGATACAGTGAATTGATTGATTTGTACCAGGTATTTTCTTGCCAGATAGAACTGCAAGTGCTGTATATATACTTTCAGGCTCTTGAGGTTGAAAATCAAAAACTAATACCTATCAAACAAGAGGAAATTAAAAGACTTTAACAGATAGATCATAAATAGCACATTCCGATCAGGATTATATAAACTTGTAACTCAATGATCAAATTACTCGGATACAGAATTCCATTTGAATAAGATAGATATCAACAGAAAGCATGGAAACCCCTTAAACCCTGATAATTACATGTGTACATATATCGTTCATCAATTACTTCAACTGTTACAAATTAGGGTTCATATTTCAAAGTAAGAGATTCTAATCAGGGTGAATTATGAACCGTAAAGTTTATCGCAACGAATCAAATGTACCAACGTTAATCTTTCCAGAATTGTGGAGATTAAAACATCATATAAAGATACAAATTAACATAAGATTCACCAGATGAGGAAATTTTACTCGATTAACAAAATTTTGAACCTGAGAAGGAAGAAGAGAGGAGGTGGAGAGGACCATGAAATGCTGTAAATCCCAAGAGAGACGGAGAGAGTATACGGTGGACATAAGCAACTGTGGTGGTCCGTTGGTGGCACTTAACGGCACTGCCGCCACGTACACATTATCTCTTCCTCTCGCCGCCGGTGGCTTTACGGACGCCACCGTCATCCCCATACCACCCATTTTTCTGCTCTTTTTTTATTTTTATTTTTTCCGCTTTAAAGATAACCAACGGTTGGCTTGCATTTTAATCCAATTATTTATTGAAATTTTATTTACAATTACAATTATTTTAAACTTTCTTTAAAATGAGCTTAACGAGACTGAGCATATTCAATCGGTTATAGGGGTGAGCACCGAAACCGGTACCTCCCTTTGGAATCGAAACCATTCCAGAACTCATGTGATTGGTTTCGGTTCCGGTTTCCAAAATACGGAAATTGATCGGGACTGATTCCGGTTCCGATTCTCATTTTTTGGAACCGCTAATCGTTGTGTACCTGTCGAGACCGGTTTCGGGGCCGAGTACCTGGTCATGTTGGATACCTAGAACCGGAACTGACAGGTAATGAGATTATTTAATAAAATAAAATTATTAAATTTATTTTTTATGGTTACACTTGTTCACTTATCGTTGCTACACTTGATCTCTCTCGTTCAAATCTAACACGGTTCATGGTCTCTCCTCCAAATCAATTTCTGCACTCGATCTCTCCTCCAAATCGGTTTGATTCAGTAGGTTTTTTATTCATTAGCAGTGTCTCGTTTACGTTAGTGCTTTGTAGTATTTATTTCTTTACATCGGATTAATTTTCATGGTTTGTATTTATATCTTTACGCTGGTGTTTTGTAACAGACTAATTATTACTTTTTCATAGTTTAAAATAATAAAAAAAAAATTAGACATGGTACCCGGTAACAGAACCGGAACCGGCGGTTCCGGGACCGGTTCTCAAATATAAGGAATCGGTTTCGGTTCATTCATTTTAGGAACCGCCGGTTCCGGGACCAGTTCCATGAATTTTGGCCGAGTACCCGTCTTTGCAGTCACCCCTAATCAGCTATATATGTCTGTTTGGTAACGATTTAATTATATAGAAAATGACTTATTCATAAGGTTTTTAGTGCAGTTTTATGCAAAAAAACCGCTTTTCGTCTATAATAAAACTTTTTGAAACAAAAACTTTTCCCATTTATATTGACAAACAGATTTATATATTCTTGACTTAATAGAAAACTAACCAAATAGTTATTAATTACAAAAATTCCAAGTTTAAAAAATTGTGTAAAGTTGAACTTATTATTAATACAAAAAAAATAAATTATTTATTAAAATAATAAATTTATAAAATATCTTAATAATATAATTAATCTATAAATACTACAATAAAAATGACTTTATTTGACGTCTACATTATATAAGCGTCTTAATATAATATTTTATAGAGCATTTGTTATAGCACTAACATGTAAAGCGTCATATCTAAAAGTATTACGATAGGTTTATAAGATGCATTCAGATGTTTTAACAAAAAAAAATTAGAACATTTTTAAAATAAAATGTCACATTAACTATTTTATACAATATTTTTTAGAACTATAATATAAACCTATCTTTTCATTTGACACATGGGTTTATAGGACACTTTTTCAAATGTTTATGTATAAAATAATTAATATGACACTTTAATCTAAAAACATATTAAAAAACTTATTAAAACGTTATATAAACTTATTATAACATTTTTATATATTACGTCTTTTAGTTTGATCCCATAAATTTAAGTCTTATAAAGTATTGTTTAAAAAAAATTAATTTTAAAGATCCTACAAAAACAGCTTGAAAAGCGACCATACTTGGTCATGATGGGCTGAATCGAATTAAGACCCACATTTTATTGGACTTAGATAAGTGGGCCGCGTGTTGGGTCAACAAAAATTATATAATATCTTGTAAATAAGACTGTAAACGAACCGAACGTTCAGCGGAAAGTTATTTACCGTTCGTTTATGCTCGTTTATATATTAAATTTAATATATAATTTTTTTTTATTTACTTTGAATTCAAATAATCATTATTTATGTTCGTTTAGCATGTTAATGAACGGACATAAACGAACACGAACATAAAATGGTTTCCCCCTGGATTTTGTGAAATCATATTTATTTTATTTTTGGCCATGATTTGAGAATTGAAGTTTTTGAAAATTGTGATAAACCCATAAACTTTTGAATATTATATTTTGGCCACTATTTTGATATTTTCATAACATCTAAGTCAGTTTTCGATCTTTCGTTCTATTTCCAGATTCTTTTCGCCTAATCAACTATTGTCATTGACCCCGCACTAAAAAAGTTACTATATTCGGCTTCTAGAAAAACTGATATTATTGGATGCCCACAAAACGACAAATTAACCTACCAATGTGTCCATAAACGAAGGTATACCACATTCCGTAAGTGAGATCGATCATGTTCGATTTCTTATTGGAGGCGTTTTCGTGAAAGGCTCACACTTAAAAAAAAGACCCATGTTCGATTTCTAATTAGGGTATATTTTTGTGAAAGGGTCGTACTCATGATCCTTAATTAATAAGCTACGATCAGCATACCACGACTTAACGAAATTAAGCACTATTAGCCACCATAATTACATCAACATGCAATTAACCTTTATTCTTCATGATTAGATAAAACTAACCCCACCATGTTAACCAAATCTTTTATTACCAGCAAAACCTTAGCCAACCTGCAGCATGTTCCATTCCATAAAACCCTAGCTTCTACCCAACCCATGCTTGCCACGTGGCCAAGGCTGACATTTGATTACACACTGATTCAGTCCCCGGTGGAAATACTTTCAGAAAAACGTAATGAAAACTTAAACAACAAGAAACAGTTCCCAAATATATGATTCAAGATCTACTCCTCAGTTGCAACACCTTCTTCTTTCTTATCATCTTTCTCTTCTGGTTCGGCTTTTCCAACCTCAGTTGGCTCGGTTTCTTCCACTGGTTTAGTTTCTGGTTCGATGGTTTCTTTAGCCACTTCCTCCACACATGGCTCGGGTGCCACCTTTGCTGCCTGATCCACAGGGCTAACCTTAGCTTCTTCTTCTTCTTCTTTGACCACCACTATGGTCTCAACCTCAACTGCAAGGACTTCGGGTTTGGGTTCTGCTTCTGCTTCTGCTTCTGGTTCAGATGTGGGTTCAGGTTTGGTTTCTGGTTCAGGTCCAGGAGCTGCGAGTTCTGGTTCGGGTGCAGCCTCTTCAGGGAGATGTTCCACTTGTGGTTGTGGTTCAGGTACTACTACTGGTTCTTGATTGTCTGTGTTCTTGATCTCCTCTTGAGGTTTCTTGATCGGTTGCTCCTCAATTTTCTCATCATGTAATGCGGTTGTTGCCGATACAACCTGCATCACTCAGATTGGAAACGGGAGTTAAAACCTATTTAACTACCGTTTCCCGATACATAAAAATGGTCGACTTTTTTTACATCGACCATTTATTTTCATTTGGGTAAATAAAAAAAGAGTACTTTTTCGAGTCATGTGAGTTTCTATTCCTCTTCAGGCATCCAATAATTTCAATAAAGAATGTGACCAATGGGAATCATTTAATTATTTCGAATTTTAACAACTTCATTTAAATCGTTTGACAAAAAAAAAAACGTTGCAATTTTATCGTGATTTTATCAGATGGGTACGAGTTTTATTTAAGATATTATTTTTTTGAAACCCTCGTAATCAGTCTTTTTACAACTAACGCTATGTTAAAACTGGTAATTTCGAGTAGATTACAAACCTTCTGATGCAAAATTACTAATTAATTTGGACATTATTGATTCTTCGTAGAGCGTATTGTTTTCTCTGTATTTTAACTAAAACGGTTTTTTTTTTCTTTAACAAAAAACGATGGTTCATAATATTAACAACTTCATAATAGCGTTTACCGATAGTTGAACACATCACGAAATTAACATCTCCATCTCTATATATGTATATGTATATGTATATGTATATGTATATGTATATGTATATGTATATGTATATGTATATGTATATGTATATGTATATGTATATATATATGTATATGTATGTATACACTTAAATGAAAAGATTACCTGAGCAGTAGCCATTGGATTCAAGAAACAAATGTAGAGAAGCAGCAGATTAAAGGTGGAGGAGGAGGATGGTGATGATGGAGATTTGAGAATTGAGAATTGAGAGGGTGAGTAGAAATGGTGGGGGGAAGAGGGGTTTATATAGAAATGGATCCAAAGGGTGTAAACTGTAATTTAAATGGTTTTCAATTGTGAAAGAAGTCTTGAAATTCCAAAAAAAAAAATTAATAAATTATTAATTCATTCATCTGTAATATAATCTACAGAAAATGATGTGTCACGCTCTTAGAGTAGGATTTGTTTAGAGAAATTTTCTCATTGTAAGCAATTACCAAACAATTATATTTTATTTTTTATTATATTATGTGAGCCTCTTAATCATTATGACCACTTAATTATTCTGTACTAAACCATTCAGCAACTGTCAAACAGCTCCTTAAGATACTAACAAACGACTCAGCTTTTAAAAGTTTGAAAATCATGTCTTTCGTCTGTCAGAAAAAATTATGTTTCTTTCATTTTAACAATGATATTTTTTGAGATGTTTTATAAGAAATTACAATAATTTTAAAATAAAGTTTTGTGATTTTCATATTTGATTATCAATCTTATCAATACCAATTGATGTATAAATAATCAAATGAAAATAATAATAAATTAAAAATTTATAAGAACTGATATAAAAATAATTTTTGTACATGATTTATGTCAATAAAAAATATGATTTAAGGTATTATTTCAAATGTGTTTATGTTTACATAATGAAACAAAATAATATATTTCTCAAAACCATATAAACCATATTATATTAACAAAAATAAACAAAATACTAAAATAAAGATGTATCTTGCTGTATTATACAAGTATCCTTTTAGTATTATTATAATATGCATCGAAGATAAAAACTGAATTAAAATTATGATTATTAAAATAATATATAATATTTGTAATGTATATGATAAACTTTTTGGTGGGTTTGAAAGGGTGTGTCCGTTGTGTGCTTTGTGCGGTCGGGAATGAAGGTGAATACATCCATAAAATTCCGTCATAACAATCATGCCATTTCGACTACACATTAAACCTATTCTTTTTTTATTATATCTTTTATCATTTTAATCAAAATATTAATAAAATTAAACTATATTATAAATATAACAAATTATATAAAAAAAAATAACATACTTTAACTTGATTTATATTTTAGGGTTGAAACATTAACTGGTTACTATGTTGACGTGACGAGTGATGAGATGAAATTGTATTTAATAGCAAATAATACTGAATTGGATACTCGATCACTTGCTACATCAAATAATAGTGTTAGTTATGGTTTTTATGTTTTTCTACTATATAAACCTTTAGGATAGAATTTTTTTTTTTTATTAAATTGAACAGATATATAAAACATTAAGTAGCCTAATTATAAGACAGGTTTTCCATGTTCGTTCTGGGCCCTTCACTAGTCTCAGTTAGGGGTGTTCATGGGTTGGGTTGGAGACATTTGAACAACTCAACTCAATGCTTGCAGTTTGAAAAATTTTAACCCAACTCAACCCAAACCAAAATGCAACCCAACCCAACCCGTATGGGTTGATCGGGTTTATATTTTTGTACATTAAAATATTCTTCTAACCTTGAATATGTTATTTATTTACTCATAATTTATTTTTCATTATCAATCATTTGATACAACTTATACATACTWCTTACGTATATCACATTCAATTAATTTTCTTAATTTACATATATATGTTCACAGTTACTGAACATATATACGAATGAGATGTGAATAAATTGAAAATATGTGTATATAAAAAACGTATGTGATAGTGTAACTGTATAATGTATATATTAATAAAAATTTAACGATCATATTAAATCCAATAAATAAAAGGATATCGAGTTCATCGGGTTGAGTTCAAATAATAGCAACCCAATATCAACCCAATACCTACGGTTTGAAAATTTTACAACTCAATTAGACATCGGGTTGCTTCGCGTTAAGTTATTTCGCATTGGGTTGGGTTGGATTGATCGAATTGGTCGGGTTTTTGAACACCCCTAGCCTCAGTTACGAAGTAAACTAAACCAATATTCATTCATTTAGTGTCTTTAAAAGCATGTTTCATGTGGGGCCGTTTGGAGTTGTTGATAATCAAAGTTTTTAACTAAATTATAGTTTTTATTTTACTTAAATAGGAATTTTGAACTTTATTTTAATCTTTTTTTTCATTAATCTGGATGTCTAACCCACTATACAAGCCGACTAATTCCAAGACAACAATCTACTTTGTGGATCACCTAGAGTTACCGTATTTGAACCTCCATGGTCATAAGTAGATTTTTATTCCTTTATAAATTTGAACCTAGGATCTTCAGATACTTTTTTAACCCTTGAAATTTAAGATCAAATCAATCAAACATTATCCTTACGGTTAAATAGGAATTTTGAACTTTATTTTAATTACTTTTTTTATTAACCTAAATATCTAACTTGCTATACGAGCCAACTAATCTCAAAACGACCATCTGTTTTGTAGATAGTTCGAAATCATCGTATTTAAACTTTCATAGCTATAAAGAAATTTTTATTTTTCTTTAAATTTAAATCTGAAATCTAATGATCTTTTTTAACTTTTTAGAGTTAAATTTAAACCAATCAAAATGTTTTTATTTACTTTTTAATAATCATGTAAACATGGAAAGTTGCTTTTCATGGGATGGGTGACATGACTGATGGAAGTTTGGACGGCGGAAAGGTGGGCCCTTACAGGTACATAAATGACGTGGCCCATTATCTTGATAGCAAGAATCAAACGGTGGGACCCAACGCCACGTCGATAACAACAATATTAGTAAATTTTTGGGGCCCACTCCACGTCGGATCACGGTCATGCCTTCTGGCTTTTCTTCCCCCAATACTTCATTTAGAGATAAATAACTAATTTAATATTGTCGTAAACTTTTTCTTAAATACTATTTTTGGAAATGTTCGGCTACAATAATGCTATCTTTACAAGTATTTTATTTTTATAATTAGACATTTATTTTAAAACAAACTAAAATAAAAATATGGATACTTATTTTGAAATAAAAAAATAATAAAAACAAAACAGATACAACGAGAAACCAACGGTATGAATCAAAATTCACGACACTTTCTTTTGTGGATATAACAGTATAAATCAAAATTTATGTTTCTGGGGTTTTCAAATGCTTTTTATTAGTAACTCAACGCTATAATAATGGTCTCTTGTTATAGTTTAACAGGTAGTCGTATGTGGGTTAAAGTCTCGTTCGAAGAATAAACAGAGAGTAGAGAAGGGTTTTTGTTGCTTTTGTCTTTTTTATATCAATTATTTGTTCAGGTCGTAAAACTATTTATAAGAAGTGAGTTTTCTAACTGTATACCAGTTGTTTTAAAATGTTTGTCATAACAGTTGTCGTGGTTTAAAACTTGTGTCTCACGTCACATTAATCTTGTGACACGCCATAGCCTAATATGCATGGTTCTTGTGACGTGATATTTTGATTTTTCTTATCTTTTTAATGTTTTGTTTATTAGTTTTTTAACACATAACTTAATTTAAATTATTTAATATAATTTATCGTCGACTAATAGCATGAATATATGTTATATAAATATATATGATTGAGTTCACGTGAAACCAAGAGTGTTTTTGTGAGACCTGTAAGACCAATTTATGTTCATTGATCAACTTTATAAGCTAATGGTCTAAAGTTGCACGGTGACAATTTTATGATTATTGAGAAGTCTCGTGGCAATCTTATGATTATGAATGTTTAGATTGTAGATCTAATTTAAAAGTTGAGAATTGGTTTTACGGATCTCACGAAAAACCTTTGGTCTCACATGATCCCAAGTTTACCCAAGTCTCTCTCTCTTTCTCTCTCTCTCTCTCTCTCTCTGTCTCTCTCTCTCTCTCTCTATATATATATATATATATCTCTCTCTATATATATATATAGAGAGAGAGAGAGGGAGAGAGAGAGAGAGTTGAGTTCACGTGAGACCAAAGGTTTTTCGTGAGACCCGTATGACCAATTTATGTTCATTGATCAATTTTATAAGCTAATGGTCTAAAGTTGCACGGTAGCAATTTTGTGATTATTGAGAAGTCTCGTGACATTTATGAATGTTCAGATTTGACGATTGTAGATCTAATCTAAGGGTTGAGAATTGGTCTTGCGGGTCTCACGAAAAACCATTGGTCTCACATGATCCCAAGTCTATATATATATTATATATATATATATA